TTTTTTTTTTTTTGAGATGGAGTTTCGCTCTTGTTACCCAGGCTGGAGGGCAATGGCGCGATCCTGGCTCACCGCAACCTCCGCCTCCTGGGTTCAGGCAATTCTCCTGCCTCAGCCTCCTGAGTGGCTGGGATTACAGGCACGCGCCACCATGCCCAGCTAATTTTTTGTATTTTTAGTAGAGACGGGGTTTCACCATGTTGACCAGGATGGTCTCGATCTCTTGACCTCATGATCCACCCGCCTCGGCCTCCCAAAGTGCTGGGATTACAGGCGCGAGCCACTGCTCCTGGCCCGATTTTAAGTATTTATGTTATACCCAGGTAGAAGTGTTCAACAGTCAGCTTGAAATAAAGATCTGATGTAGACAATGGAAACTTGAAGTTTTCAGTGTGGTTGGAGTTGTGAGAATGGATGGGATTGCTCAGGAGAGTGGAGGAGAACACAGAGGACTAAAACGTAGGTACTATCACCAAAGCCCTTTGGGAGGATAGAGGTATCTACTGAGGATAACATGAAGCAGCAAGAAATTTACCACAACATTCAGCCCTTAGTAGCTTGATGCTTCTATTTTCATAACTAATTTCTGAACTACTAATAAAAGAGAATCATGTCATTTAAATACAGAAATTTTTCACTCCTCTATAATGCCTAAGACTGTATTGACCAAACAGCAGTTGTTTTAAAATACTTATTATTTGATTAACTTTTTTAAAAGAAAAAATAAATACCTTATGAGTTACATTTGACCCCAATAGTCATGAGGCCCTGACCACCAACTGAAAATAATGTGTTTATTTTTCCTTTCTAGACATAATGTTTTTAGTAATACTGCTAATTAGAAAACGATTCTGATTCTTGATACTTTAAGCAATAATCTTCAAAAATGTAAAATCTTATCATTTCTATCTCTTGCCACTAGATGGCAGAAGTAGCTGAGATGATCATCTGGAAGCATCTAGTCTTGAGGAAGAAACAGATTTGTGAACCTAAATTGAGAAGCTCTTAGTTAATAAAAACGTAAGATTTGGCAGAGATTTGTGACTTGTGCACAATGTATTGTGTTCCAGGACTAGTCCATGGTGAGAGGAAGTAGCTGAGTGAAGTATGGCCTTGACAGATGCATACTGAATGTTAGGTCCAAAATCTCCTGATCGAAATTCTGTGCAAATAAAGCACTTCTTTCTTCAACTATCTTTAATTGGAAAGGGTACCAACAGCATACCCCAAATAATTCTGACTATTTAGGCCAGATATTGAAAAGCGGGAAGAAAGGAATGTTAGGCATAGGACCGAAGCAGCTTCCCAAAATGTAAGAATTCTTTCTAGAACCAAAGTCATCAAGGGTTAAGGCAAGCTTGTCCAACCTGCAGCGACAGGACACATGTGACTCAGGAGAGCTTTGAATTAACCCAACACAGATTCGTAAACTTTCTTAAAACATCATGAGATTTTTTTGCAGGTTTTTTTTTTAGGTTCTTCGGCTATCATTAGTGTTAGTGTGTTTTATGTGTGGCCCAAGACAAGTCATCTTCCAATGTGGTCCAGGGAAGCCAAAAGATTGGACACCCCTGGATGGGGTTCTCTCCGTGGGTTTGGAAAGATGAATTTGTGGGATGAAATTTAATTTTTCTACTTCTTTTATCTACATAGTAGTAATAACAATAATAATAATGAAAGTTTTCTAAGAAATATTTGGTTATTAAAAATCATGTTTTAAAAAAGTTTTTATAGAAAATTCTAGATAAGCATTATTATTATTTATAGCTGCAGATATTTCTAGAGTTAACTCAGTTACACAGAAATTTTTCTCAAAACTAAGATTTCACTGTTGCCAAAACTTTCTGTAACAGAAATAATGTACCGAAACTCACAGAGGCTGCTCATCAGGCACCTATTGTTACTGTGGTTAAAGACGATATTGTCAGTGTACCCTAAAATTATACATAACTTCTATATTCCTCTCATATTCCTGAAAAGTCTAGAATTGTAACCTTTTCGTCAGCATGTTTTCAATTCTTTTTTCTTAGCAAAGATAGTCAGAAATTTTTTTAAAGTCTGCAAAAATTAATTCTGGCACTGATAGTGCTATCGAATTTTTAACGATTTCCCAGCTAATCCAGAAAAGTAATAGCATATAGCGGAAAGCAGATGGACTTTAAAATCTGACTTACTTGTATTTACATTGTGGCTCAGTTGCTTTCTAGCTGCGTCTATTAGCAAACCTATTAATTTCTAGCCTCTTGGAAATAATAGTATAGAATTCACATGCCATGCTGTAAGGATTACTTGAGATAATACATGGGAAATCTGTAGTACTTGGCACCTAGTAGTTGCTCAGTAAATGGTAATTATTTCACGTTAAAAAATAAAAGGTACATATGTATATAAGAACAAATCTAAATTTAAGACTAATAAACCATTTGAGCTCTCAGTATTGATTGAAAATTGTTATATCCTCATCCTTGATGTCCTTCAGAGAATGGTTTTACACTATAGATTATTTCCATATCAGCTGAGCAAGGGTGTATTATTCAACTTGTTATCTCTTCTGCAAAAGTGAATGTCAGCTTGGTTAGCTCGATTTGTAGCAGATGAGTTGGGGGCATTTTGAGCGTTCCAAAGGAGAATTTACTAAAGCATGAAGAAATGGGTTTTCTTTTGCGGCTAGTTGTGGAAGATATTAGAACATATGCATAATTTTTAAAGATTGCCACTAGGAAGAAAGCATTGATTTAGGTATAATTTGTAAAGATTGCCACTAGAAAGAAAGCATTGATTTAGGTATATAATTCCTGCTATGTTTATTTAAAAATTATTGCCTTAAAAATTAAAAAGCATTACTTCATAGGAACATGTTGATATCTAGTGAGCTTTATGTAATAAAATAAGAGACATTTAACAAGTATTGAATTCACATATAAAACATACTATAGATCTAGAGAATATAATTATTAGCCTATGAAAATGGAACAAGTTTTTGTTCTATGTCTGGTGATGTATTCATAAACATACTCGACTAATTCTAAATACAGATGCAATTCCACTTCTGTAAACTCTAAGAGATCACTCTAATACCATTCAATATGTTATATTATTGTTATTAAAATCAGGCATATATTAACCTGGGGACAAGGAGATTTTGATTGTATCAACAGTCTGTATTTGTTCATTTATATGTATTCAACATAACTACTAGGCTTCTAGTGGAGGAAGGTAAGAGGCAGCAGCTAAGTTCTAAAATTTAATTTCGTGAGTTTTTATTTATTTGTATGCATATCTGCTCACCTACCTTTCTGTCTACAGACTGTTTTAGGAGAAATAATAACAATAATAAAATGTAGTGTTTATTGACTTCCTAATATATTGTGGAGACTATTCTAAATGCTTTACATGTATCGGTTTAGGAGACTGAACAACCCTATAAGGTAGGTTTTCTTATTATTTACACTTTGCGGATTGGGAAAGAGGGCATCAAGAAGTTAAAAAGGCTTTTCTAAGGTCACACAGTGAGTACGTGATATATCTGGGATATGAGTCCAGCTAGTCTGAGATCAGACCTCTCGTTCTTAGTCACAGTTACATTATTTACCGGCAAATGAGAATTGTACAATGTTAAGATAGAAGGAGACAGAAATGATCAAATCCAGTCTTTTCAAAATGCAGCTGACCTATCAGTACATGTGAAACAAATTTAATTGTTAATTTTAGAATAGCATAAAGGAATAGAATAGATAATCATGTGCATCACAAATAAAACCTTTGTTTCAGTTTAGTGTGGATATGTGTGGGTGCATACTGGCTCACAGTGCAAAATGTATTTCTTACTGTGATCAAGGTCAAGAAAATCAGGAAGCCACTGATCTGGTCCAGCTTCCCCACATTACAAATACTAGGGAAGGGACTGGGAAGAAAATCTTAGGCCTAAAGAAGTTAAGTGATTATCCAAAAACACACTGGTAGAAATGGCAGAGCATGAGCTTGAACTCCATAGTATTTTCTACCTGTGTTTTCCCTTCCCAGTGTCTGTTGTGGCTGCCGTTACTACCAATTAAGTTACTTAAACTGGTGGTTTTCAAACTTTGGTGTATATTAGAATCATACAGATGCCTAGTCTCATCCAGCTTCACCAAGCTTGTGGCTTTGTGTTTCTGCTTAACTGTGCAGGGTGATTCTGTTACACACTTTGGAGAATAACTGTCTTGAATTTCATAATGCTGCAGTATTTATTAAATTTAAATATATTAAATGATTGCCACGCGTGTTACCAGCATTATGCTAAACACCACGAGTGATAATAAAAAAGTAAGAGATAAAGCCTCTCTCGATGAAAAATTTAAATTCTGTTAGGGAAATCAGGATGTGCAAGAATCATTTAGTAGACAGAAGCTGTACAACAAAACTCTTATTTAATCTTATTTAACAAGTACAAAAGATAGTCCAGAAGGCAATTTTTAAATGCCTCTATAGGTAACTACAAAGGAAACTTATATAATCTTATTATATAAGACAAAATGTTGCATAAGAAAACATGGTAGAGAAAGTAGAATTGATTTTTCTCCAACTCAGAGAGGAATTGCCAGTGTCTAGCAATCAGATTTAATCCCAGTGCAGCTCCCAGGATACATTCTCCCAGGCCCGCTGACTCACCAAAGTCACTCTGAAGACAGATGATTTGCTTCTTCTGAACTGGCAGAACATTGAGTATGTTAGAGTTTGTGGCCAATTTTGGGTCACAGGTAGGTTCATTTAAAATGCTTCCAAGAGGCACTTATTAAAGTTCCTTTACATAGTATGGAACAACTCCCCACCTCCCTCCTTGACCTTGAGCCCATTAAGCAATAGGGCACATACAGAAGTAATGGGGCACTTACAAAAGTTAGCATGAAATTATAGTAATTGAAGGTATTCTAGATTGGTATTCCAGAGATTTTCTGGTTTGAAGACTGGTGCTGCAGAGATTTTCTGGTTTCACCTCTTCATATTACATGTGAAGATTTTTTTTTTTTTCCCTCTGTCCCCCAGGCTGGAGTGCAGTGGTTTGATCTTGGCTTACTGCAAGCTCTGCCTCCTGGGTTCAAGTGATTCACCCACCTCAGCTTCCCAAGTACCTGGGACTACAGGCATGCACCACCACGCCCAGCTCATTTTTGCATTTTTAGCAGAGACAGGGTTTCACCATATTGTCCAGGCTTGTCTCAACTCCTGACCTCAGGTGATCCACCTGCCTTGGCCTCCCAAAGTGCTGGGATTACAGGCTTGGACCACCACATCCAGCCCAAAGAAATTTAATTTAAAAAGTTGTTTCTGATGGTGGTTTATTTTCTTAGTGGGCTGTAAGATATATTACCTGCTTTTAATCATAAACAAGCAATAAAAAACTATTTGAAATATCATTTCCAAAAGTAGGTTTTATTTCTCTTATGAACAATTAAAGCAGAGCTGCCACTACTCATTCAACATAATTATATAAATTAGAAAAGGGAGCCCCTTCTCAAACAGGATACTTTGTAGTAATTTAGATAATGTGCTGCATGGACCCAGGCAAGAGGCTTTTAAGTTCAGCAATAAATTCCTTAAATAATCAGATAACACAGTATCTAATAGCAAGCCTCATAGAATCACTGAACTCACATCTCAGCCGAGGCATTAGGAATAACATATTCTAACTACTTAATTTTACAAATAAAGAAACTAAAAATCACAGCTGTTATGAGACTTTCTCAAGGCAGCCACCTAGTTAACACTAGAGCTGAGACAGGAATCTTCATCTTGAATTCCTAGACCTGAGTTTATTTCTCCGTTTCACAACAAGAGTAAACAACAGGTGTTTTCTTTTTTTTTTTTTGAGACGGAGTTTGGCTCTTGTTACCCAGGCTGGAGTGCAATGGCGCGATCTCGGCTCACCGCAACCTCCACCTCCTGGGTTCAGGCAATTCTTCTGCCTCAACCTCCTGAGTAGCTAGGATTACAGGCACGCGCCACCATGCCCAGCTAATTTTTTGTATTTTTAGTAGAGACGGAGTTTCACCGTGTTGACCAGGATGGTCTCGATCTCTTGACCTCGTGATCCACCCGCCTCGGCCTCCCAAAGTGCTGGGGTTACAGGCTTGAGCCACCGCGCCCAGCAACAACAGGTGTTTTCAACTCAGCAGGTCACAGGGGTTCACTTATTTCAATTTCTAGGGGATTTTATTGAAAATTGTTATCACTGAGTTTTTATTTGTTTATGCCAATTTTCAGCTTTCGTAAAGGGCCAAATCTAGGTTGTTGACACTAGACTAACCTTTCTCTCATCCCAAATTCCTCCAGCTAAATTGTGTGCATCATACTGATTCAGTAAAAATAAGTCTCATCATTATTTAACTCTTATGTCCATTTGTGTACTTGTGCAAATTCTGATGAGATAGTTTTGTAAAAACAAAATGTAAATGATCCATATCTCAAAGCCTAACCTACATAGTAGCAATGCTATTTTTTCTCTATGGGATACTTTCCCAGAGCTGCAGGCCAGTGTGGGGGATAAGAGCGAGGCATGGCATCAGAAATGTGCTATTTGATAATTCCCTGAATGCTCCTGAACTTAATTTCCACATTTATATACTGATGATTATAGAAGCACATTGAGGGCAGTAATTGTGATTAAGGAGGTTATCATTTGCTGGCTTGAATTTTACTATCTACACGGAAAGGACCCCTTCCTCCACGCTCAGGTTCCTGTTTGGCTGCCTCCACCTCAACTTCTATTTCTCTAGCCCCCATTTTCCATTCCATCCTCTGTTTCTCATTCCTACTTTCTTAAATGGTCAATAGATAAGTAAGAGAAACACGTGATAAAGAAAAAGGAGCTGGGTGGGGAGGGTGGGGTGGGGGTGAGAGGTGCAGGGGGAATGTCAGTGTACAGTCAGTTCAAGGAGTTGCCAGTGTATGGGACTTTGAAAAAAAAAATGTGATTTTAGGCTACATTAATGGAGTTGCATACCAAGAACAAAGAGGTGATAATTCTATACTATGCTAGAATTGTTAGGATCTGAGGGCCGTATTTCAGGAAGAATGGTACCAAATTGAGTTGCTTCCGGAGAGGGGTAAATAGGCTGGCAAGGCTATTAAAACCATGTCAAATGGGAGCATCAAAGGCCATGAGTGATGTGGTCCTTGGAGAATAGACTCATCTCACAAGGACACAGTAGTTCATCTTAAAATTGTTTAAAACAAAGAACTAGTCCATACAATTTTTGTAGACGTCAAGACCTTTAATTTAAACAGTGAAAGAAAACAGAGTTTACGTAAGTTTAAAACTGTTTGTTTTAAATAACTTGGTCCAAAGATAGAATAACCTGCCTCATAAGGTAGTGAGCTTCCTGTCATTGGAGGTATTCAGACAGAAAGTAGAAAATCTTCAATGAGATATTGTGGAGATGATTCAGGAAAGAGAATGTTGAATAATATTTTCAACCTTTTTCCAGTCATAAATTTCTTTGAGAACTTGATTTTAAAAACTGTAAGTCTTTTCCCTAGATAAAAGCGATACCTACAAAACTATACCCACAAAAATATTGCATAAAACTTAAAGGATGATATGAATTACTTCAAGGACATCTGAGAACTTCCTGTGGACCCTAGAGTTATGGTTAAGAATTTCTGGAGGGAATGAATTTCAAGTTTTCTTTCATCTCTGAGAAACTATGATTCCCGTATTTCTGCCTCACAGTTACTGCTTGGTTAAGGAATGCTTGTCGTTAAGAATAAATCTTTTGTAAATTTCAGAAAAAATGGGAGAAAGCATCCCAATCTATTATGTCTGTGAGGCATGCCCAATTCCACAGCAGCCCTCAGCAGCAAAGATCAACAGGTTCATCTAGATGAGAAGGATTTTAGGGTACATTTGCTTCAGGAGGGTTCTCTAAATGCAGAAATGCTTCTGATTCCATTCTCCTCAGTATTTTTGGTATATTCTTATAAGGCAATTTTCTGTTTATTAGCTAGTGCCATAAGCTTTTACCATCTATTCAAGCCAACAGCAATAATATCTTGCCTCTCTGAGTTTGGGTTTTAACTGTCATAAGACTGTTTTCTTTATGCTTGATGGAAGTTGCATTCTAGCAAATAACTGATTTTGAATTACCCCAAATTTGCTAAAATGGTGATACACTTTCCATAGGATTCTAGTACAGAGAGTTACCAATATGTGGCTAGACTCTTCAATATGTGGCTAGAAATATCAGTCATAAAATGTGCACTGGGTATTTATTTTTTCATCAGGGTCACAGAAATTCACTTGAATTGAATTCTTCTTCTTTTCTCTGTACTATTAAGATATTGACATGTTCAGAGTTGCTGGGTTTGAAATTTTAAGAATAGCTAACTCATAACATTTCACTTTCTGCTCCAGGGCAGGGTGAGTTGCTTATAAATCACCCTGCAAATATGATGAATTGGATGTCTCCAACTCAATTAGCTTAATGTGGGTAGGAGGATTTCCAGGCTTTACGGCCTCTGTTTTACTCATCTACTAAGCAGACTGTTATATAAAATGTGTCTGAGTATTAATGTCTGAATCTTACAGAAACATGGTTGGTATTTTTCACTTCAGCATCCAATGTCACTCTGTATTTCATAGCTTTGATTTGGATCCAGAGCTACTGAGTGATATTTCTTAACATGATTTATATTGTTGCAAGCCTTACCTTGTTATCTTTCTGCCTACTGACCGAGTTAAAAAAAAGTAGCCTAAGAAAATTGCTGCTGTCACTGGGTGATTTAATTGGGGGGAAAAATCTCAGCAATTTAAGGAAAACTGCAAAACTGGAGCTATTCCTCTGTCAAATAAATGGTCAAATGAGATGGGCCTCAGCAAAGCAGATGCTGACAATTTTGAGAGCTTTGAATGCACTCATACTTCAGTTGTGGGATTTTTTGGAAGAATTGGTGGTAGAGTTTGCTTGCTTTTTGTTTTCTTAAGATGATTTGCTTTTTGTTTTCTTAAGGTGAATATACCGGGACCATGGGAAATGTTTATATTGAAGAGAACATTTTGGATATAGATATATTTTGTGTCTAGGAATATCATTTGACATTTCTTTACATTAGCTGTCTGTGAGCATTGATTAGCTAAATTATTATCTATGTGTTTTCTTCTTCCCTCTTTTCTCTTTTAGTTTCTCTGTCAATCCCAGCTCTGTCTTGCACATTGTTTTTCTCCCTCTTTTTTCGACAGATAAAATAGTATGTATTGACCATGTACAACATATTGCAGTATATACAAACCATGAAGTGACTCAATTTATTTGGAAAACAAATTTGTTTTCTAGCTAATTAATGTATGCATTACCTCATAATTATTTTTGGGGTGAGAATATTCACTCTCTTAGCAGTTTTCAAGAATACATATATTGTTAATATGCTGTACAATAGATCTCTTGAAATAATTTATTCTAAGTAAAATTTTGTATTCTTTGACAGCATCTCCACAACTCCTCCTCCCACCAACCACCCCAACTCTTGGTAACCACCATTCTACTCTCTACTTCTATGAGTTCAAATTTTTAGATTTCACACATGTGTAGGATGCATGCCATATTTGTCTTTCTGCTCCTGGCTTATTTCACTTAACAAAATGTCTTTCAGGTTCACCCACATTGTGGTAAATGACAAGATTTCCTTCTTCTGGGCTAAATAGCATTTCATGATGAGAAACTTAAGTGATTTAAACACCATCATTACAATAGTAGACTATTCTGAACTGGTTTGCATGCTTACTTTTACCAGTGCACTTTACACTGTTAGATGTTCTTTATCCATTCATCCATTGGTGAACATTTAGGTTGATTCCATATTTTGGCTATTGTGAATAAGGCTGCAACTTACATGGGAGCCCAGATATGTCTTCAACATGCTGGTTTTATGTATAGTTTGAAAATATTTTATCTCATTCCTGTAGGTTGCCCCTTTGTTCATTATTTCTTTTGGTGTGCTGAAGCTTTTTAGTTTGATGCAATCTCATTTTTCTATTTTTGCTTTTTTTCCCCCAAATTATTGCTCAAACCAATGTTGTGAGTCTTTTCCTCTAGGTTTTCTTCTAGTAGTTTCATAGTTTTAAGTCTTGATCACAATGACAAGGCCATGACCAAGACCACCTGATCATGGCAAATAAACTTTTTAATATATTGTTGAATTTATATTGCTAATATTATGTTAAGGATTATTTTATCTGTGTTCATCAGGAATATTGTTCTGTAGTTTCTTTTCTTCTTGTTTTCCTTTTTTATATATAGTGTTCTTAGTCTGTTCATACCCTTTGCCCACTTTTTGAAGTGGGTGTTTTTGTAAATTTGTTTAAGTTCCTTGTAGATTCTAGATATTAGAACTTTGTCAAAGCTATCAACAATCTGAAAAAAAAAAACACATACAATTAAATCCATGGGAATTAAATATGTGGGAATTAACCAAAGATATGAATGTTCTCTACAATGAAAATTTTAAAACACCCGTGAAGAAGTAGGAATGCTTTTACACTGTTGGTGGGAATGTAAATTAGTGCCAAGCTGGTACTGAGGGTGAAAGGTAAAGTCCTCTTTAATTTTCACCCTTCTTTTCTTAAATGGAAGCAGTCTCACCGTAGCTACCACAGCTGGGAATGTTCTGGGTCATCCCTAAAGCCAGCAGGCCTCAGATCCCAAGTCCCACAGCATATTCCCTGGGTATCACTGCTGGTTATTCAGAGCCCAAGGGCTATTTAGTCAGCAGGTGATAAATGCTGGCAAGACTGGATGCTTATCTTCAAGGAAATGGGTTCCCTTTTGACCCAGGGTATGTCTATAAATGTTGCCTAGGAACTAGAGACTGGAACAGGGGCTTCATGACTCTGTCCAGTGCCCTATCCTACTGTGGCTGGACTGGTATCCAAGATATAAGACAAAGTCCTCTTTGCTCTCCATTTTCCTTTCCTTAGACAGAATAAATGAGTAATTTTCATGGCTGCATGCTGTGCTGCCTGGGTTGGGGGATGCACTTCTTTAGATATGCTAGCTGTGTCTCCCTAAGTCACATGCCACCCTAGTCAACTGCCTCTAAGCCAAGCCTAGCATCAGGAGTTCACTGGGAATTTCAGTCATTTTTTTCTAGACTTCCTTTCAAGTTTATGTAGGACCCCAGAGCACTTCAGCCTGCAGTGGTGAGGCTTGCTGAGAAACTTAAGTGATTTAAACACCATCATTACAATAGGAGACTCTTCTGCATTTGATTGCATGCCTACTTTTACCAGTGCACTTTATATTGTTAGATGTTTTGTGTTACTAATAAGCATTATTTTCTTTCAACTTGAAGAATTCTCTTTTGATCTCTCTTTTAAGACACATCTGGTGCTTATGAACTTCTTCAGCTTTTGGTTTTCTGGGAAAGTCTTTATCTTACCTTGATTTCTGAAGGACAGCTTTGCTGGGTACAGTATTCTTGGTTGTTTTTTTTTTTTTTTTTTTCTCACTCAGCATTTTGATATATTATTCGATTTTCTCCTGGCCTCTAAAGGGGATCCTATTGAGAAGTCTGCTGCTAGCTGCATTGAAACTCATTTATATGTTATTTGTGTATTCTCTCTTTTGCTTTCAGGGTCCTGTATTTTTATGTTTTATGGCTTGATTATACTATATCTTGGGGAAGCCATTTGAATTTTATCTGAATGATGACGTTTGACCTTCTTGAACATGGACAAATCTTTCTCCATATTTGGAAGGTTTTCTGCCACTATTTATTTATACTCTCTTATTTCCTCCTTAAACTCATATGACCCAATTATGCTGTCCCATGAATCTCATAAGCTTTCTTTATTCCTTTAGATTCTTTTGTCCTATGAATGTATATATTAAGTAACCTGCATTTGAGTTCACATATTTTTCTACTTGATCAATTCTATTGTTGACTCTCTATTGCATTTTATTTTTTGTTTTGTGCTTTGTATTTTTCAGGTTCAGAATTTCCATTTGATTTTTTTCCATCTATCTATTAAATTTCTCATTCTGAGAACTTTTTGATTTTCTCATTTTGTTGAATTATGTGTAGTTTCTTGATTTTTGTTTTGCTTTTTGAAAACAAGTATTGGAATTCTTTGTCAGGAAATTCATATATCTCCATTCATTTAGGGCCAGTTACTAGCACTTAATTCTGTCTATTTGGTGATGTCATGTTTTTCTTATTGTTCTTTTTTTTATTGTGTGGGGCTATCTGTGCTCTGAAGAAACAGGTACTTAATCCAATCTTTTCA